AAACCGATTACTGATCGGGCCGGGACTAAGTGGAGATTTTCGGGCTCTTGAAGATATTGAAGCCAATCAAAGCCGGTTTTCTATATTTTCTCTTTTGTGATGGAGTAAATATGCGGCTTACAACAGCTAAAACGAGCAGTCTCTCCGATATGGACGGACAGATGTATTACATATAGTAGAAATAAAACTAGTGTCGAAGAAAAATTTTACCCAGAACATTATCACACCTTTTACCTTATAGTCATATCGATCGAACGCAGATCGCAGATCTACCTAGCTCTAGAGTGAATCTCTTGAGTCTCAACAATGGAGGTCTCCGAGACTGCCAAATCCTTACAGTTGCCAAACTCCATCCCCTTCTGGCGGCTCGTCCTCAACCCCGGTGCTATCACCCAAGAGGTTGCTGACCACCCTTATGCCGGCTCAGGGACCGAACAAGATCCCTACGTCGTGGAATGGATGCCCAAGGACTTTCGAAACCCTCTCCAATTAAACACGTCCATGAAATGGTTCATCACTGTGGTCGCCGCCCTCGAGACCTTAGTCGTTGCTCTGGTCTCGTCCGCCTACACTGGTGGTATCGTTCAAATCCAAGAACGATTTGGCGCAACCACCGAGGTTGCGACCTTGGGAGTATCCCTCTACGTACTGGGCTTTGCTCTGGGTCCTCTGATCTGGGCCCCGATGAGTGAAATCTTCGGTCGCCAGCTTGTCTTCGTCACGACCTACTGCGGTTTGACCATCTTTTGTGCCGCTTGTACGGGCGCGGAGAACATCGAGTCCCTACTGGTCTTCCGATTCTTGTCCGGTGCTTTCGGCTCTTCTCCCCTTACCAACTCGGGTGGTGTTATTGCCGACATGTTCATGGCTCGCGAACGAGGACTGGCCTTATCGGCCTTTGCGTTAGCTCCATTCCTAGGACCCGTTATTGGGCCTATCGCCGGTGGCTTCCTCGGTATGTCTAGCGGAGGTTGGAAGTGGGTGATGGGTCTCTTGGCCATCCTCTGTGCTGTCATGTGGATCTTGGGAGCCGCCTTAAAGCCTGAGACCTATGCCCCCGTTCTTCTTCGCCAGCGTGCAAAGACTCTCTCCAAGCTCACAGGTCAGGTGTACTACAGCAAGTTAGATATCGATCAAGGGCGTCTCACTTTAAAAGCCGCTTTGAAAATCTCTCTCTCGCGACCCATGATTCTTCTTTTTCAAGAACCTATCGTCTTGCTGCTCTCGATCTACCTTGCTATCATCTACGGAACCCTCTATATGCTTTTCGGCGCTTTCCCGATTGTGTATCAGCTCCATCGTGGATGGAATCAAGGCGTCGGCGGCTTAGCTTTCATCGGTGTCATGATTGGTATGATTGGTGCGGTTGCGTATTCAATTCCTGAAAATCAGCGCTACGCGAAACTCCTGAAGAAGAATGGTGGCTATGCGCCTCCAGAAGCCCGCCTTCCGCCATGTATGTTGGCCTCTATCGCCCTTCCTGTAGGGCTCTTCTGGTTTGCGTGGACCAACTCTCCCTCCGTCCACTGGCTTGTAAGCGTCGCTTCTGGAGTTCCGTTCGGGTTCGGAATGTTGCTCGTCTTCCTCAGTGTCTTCAACTACCTGATCGATGCTTACACCATCTTTGCGGCATCTGTCTTGGCAGCCAACACGCTACTGCGGTCGTTGTTCGGATTTGCGTTCCCGCTATTCACCAAGTACATGTACGAAGATCTCGGAATCCATTGGGCATCCTGTGTTCCGGCTTTCTTGGCTCTTGCATGCGTGCCTTTCCCCTTCCTGCTCTATAAATATGGTCTGTCTATCCGGAAACACTGCAAGTACTCTGCGCAGTCTGAGGCTTTTGTTCAAAATCTTGTTCGGGGACTCCAAAAACCCACTGAGGAGCCTGCGGAGATTGAGCATGAGATGCGCCAAACCACATCGGCAAACGATGAAGTCGCATCACTCTCTCACAACAAGGAAATCCCCGCGGATATTCACTCAATCCATCATACTCTTTCGCGCACTTCCACCAATGCCACGCATGCCATGCATCGGGTGCCTACATATGAAGCCAACCCTTATAACGTCGACCGCGTCCATACACGGGAGTCGTTCAAATGATTCAAGCCATTGGTCATAGAAGGGGAACATGGGCGTTTTGGAGGACCTCTTGAGTATGTATACCAAGAGGGAAAATGTCGAGTCTTGGACTTCACGTTTTCCAATGGTGCATAACTTCGTCGTTTTGTTTTTTTGGTTTTCCCCTTTTGTCGTGTTCCATATATACCATAGATCGCGTTGACTACTAATTATAATTGCATTTCGATGTTTTGTGATCTTGTCTTATTCGGTTATACGTACATAGCAGAGTCCTCTGTACGGTTTATACTTTTTACTGTCTTTGTATGTCGTACATCGTAGAGTGGTAAGTCCGAGTGTAACATGAAGAAGACAGGAATATGTAAATAAACGTTCAAAGAAGACATCGGAGTGCTACCCTACATATAACTTCTAGTACAATCTTGAGCCAAGAAAATCAGGTTATTGAGGTCTTACGTCGTCAAGGACAGAGACGACATACGCGGACCCTACTCTTGCGAGAATACATATGTATCTATGAATAGTAAAAGTCGTCATTTCGTCATTCTTGGTAACCCATACCTATCCTAGCATATTGTCTGTGTCCAATGTATCAGATATCCCGTATTCCATGGATAAGCAATGAACGGCAAAAGCAACTGTTAGTGCACACCATTTGCCAGTCCATTGGTTACCCCGTTGGTCACGCCATTTGACATTCCATTGGTCACGCCGTCAGCAAGTCCATTGATTTTATCAAGAGGTACTCCCGGTGGCACTCCAACAGAAATGGTGCTCCTTTTCCGGCGTCGCTCCGGTGCGGTCCAGATCGAACCATCATCGAGCAGCTCCTGACCCAAAGCAAGCACCTTGGACGGCGCTTCGCCCAGCCATTCAGACTCTAGTCGATCGATGTTCTTTTCAATTTCCCAGGCACGGCCACCTTCAACGAACATGGATGTGCCATTGAGAGACTGGTCAGTCAAGACTCCAGTGGCCACAGTAGCAACCTGCTCAGGAGTGTTGATGGGAAGTTCGGCCCGCTTCCACTGTGCCTCAACTTTCTTGATGCTATCTGTCTGGGTCACCCAAGGGCAGATGGTATTGATACGAAGATAGTGCTTGTACGGAGAGGAGATGTAGGTGCGTAGGGAACGCATGAGGCCAGTGACGCCGTGCTTGGAGGCTTGATATACGAAAAGAGACGGGCTATCCTTGAAACCAGAGGCACAGGAGAATAGGAGAATCGACCGGTCGCAGTTTGAGCCACGGTTATGGCGCAAGTAGACAGAGGCGATGCGGGTAACATACATGGACCCGAGGAGATTGACATCCATGACCTTGTGGGTGGGGGTCTGGAGGTAAGATCGTATTGTCAGATGTTTCCAAGAAAAAAAATGTTCTGGCTAAGCAACCGGCTTGTCAGCCAATTAGCAATAGCTTACCTGGCGGACGGTCTCCAGCGTAAGTGAACTATCAAACCAATTCCCTATTTCCACGATACTCGCCGCCGAGACGACATGGTCGATGCGCTTATAGGTCTTAAAGGCTAAATCAAACAATGCCAACACCGACGGGTAGTTGGTGACATCGGTGGTCTGGAAAATTGCGCGCGGGGGCATATCTTCTTCTTCCGGGTGGAATTGGTCACAGCATTCCTTCAGGAGACGCTCGCCTGAGACGTTATCGAGGTCACCGATGCATACATTGGCACCACTTTCCAAGCATTGCGTCACTAGGCTCGAACCAATGCCATTGGCACCGCCTGCATAAGACGAGATGAGATGACAGCAGAGAAATCAGGGGACTGGTTCGACCTACCTGTGATGAGAACGACCTTTTTGGCAAGGCAATTGGTGGGAATGTTGGGGATATACTGCGACATTAGGGGCAGATCAGTGGGGAGGCTTGGGTGGATCAATAGAGATCGATCGTGGAGCTAGGAAGAGTAGTGGGACTTGCAGACAAGCAAAGAAATTGCTATCTGCAGAGGACAAGCTCGCTTTTATATGTGTTGGCTGTGCAGGTACAGGGGGTCAGAGTCAGAATTTCTTACAAATTCCTAATCAAACGCAGATGTTGAGGGGAAGGGACCAATCCGTTTGGGTAATACCATTCCCAAACCGTGGCATCCCAGAATATGGACACGGCCCCGGAGACGACGGTAACTCAGCCGAGGGCCAAGGACGCACGTCCAGGTGGTCTCCATCGAGGGCTTTTGCATAGACAAATCAGCGATTCCTTAGCCACCCGCGCTCATGGGAAAGAGCCACTCATAAAAGAAATCGATACGGGATGATGCGGGGAGGCGTTACCCAATGACGCTGGTGTGCGGAAGGAAAATGCGCAGCCAAAGCACACAGACGCGAGAGGAAACCAGGCTAATACCTGGGCAATTGGGATTGACTTCCTTGACCTATACCAGGGGGTTCTCTCGGAATCCTGTGGTCCGAGGTCTGTTTTGGCTGTCTCCTCAGAAGTCCCTCGACAGCCTAGACATCTTGCAAGGTGGCAGTCATGCTCAGCACAGATGGGATTGTGTCTGCTCTCCACTTCTCGAAGAACCGGAATCGAATATATGATGCGCAATGTATATCAATTGATCATACATGTACATCGGTAGGATGGGGTGCATATGCGGGATCGGCAAGTCGGGGAAGCGGGGGAAAAGGACAAAAGTACAAAATGTAACAGTATTCCAACTGATCCTCAGGGATAAATTAGTCCTATGCAAAACAAAAACAGTTCACTCCTTCCCAGTACATATACATGTCCAAAAAAAAAAAAAAAATTTTAGACGCCATTTCGGCTTCAAAATATGGGGAATACAGAGCATGAAACATCAAACCAGCAGAATTCTATGAAAAGAACGAGACCGAAAATACCACCGCCAGCCAAAAGACGCATATTTACAACCGGCCTATACCTGGAAAACTCTAACGGCGAGAGACACAGCACAAGATACCAGACTTGCCCAGGAACCAAAGGGATCCAATAAAGCGGAAAATCGACAGACCGGCGGTCGTCCACAGAATAGCGGCGAAGTATTTGGATGTACGGGTGGTAGAGGTGTTCTGTGCATGTTAGTTTGTGCCACAGCCTGGAGTTAGGCAAGATACATACTGTGAGACAGAGACGGGTAATTCCTTCACTGGTGATGCACAGTGCAAGAATCAAGTTGCTGAAAATCCAAATCAACACCAGGTTGGTTCGGAAAGCCTTATAGCCATCGTCCATGCTTGGTTCATCATTATCTGCAGGCTGCACATACGGCTCCAGCGCTCTCTTGACCGTCGATTCAAACTGACTATCGATATCGGCCTGCGGCTTGTCGACTTCTTCAATGAAGTTTGACTTGGCGTCATCCTTCTTCGTCTCAGCGACGGGGAGCGAATCGCCCTTGTCAGAACCCTTAGTACCCCAGGAAACGTCATGCCAGTTGCAGAAAGCGTAGACCATCAGGATATTGATCGAACAGGTCATGCCAGCAAAGTACGCCCAGGAGGACGTGAACATATGCCAGGGATCCATGTACAAGAAACTCGCGAGGAAGTAAATACCATAAGTCGAAACCAAAGCGATAAGGACGATACCGGCCCCGGAAGAACTGAAGAAAGACTTGAGGAAGTGGCCAACACCTTGGTCTAGAGAGAAATCAAGTGTACCTCCAGTGAAGGCGTTCTTGACAAGGTAGAACGATAGGACAATGATGTAACTTTGAAGGATACTGAAGTAGACGAACGAAAGCGTGTATGCCAAGCGCGAACTGTTTTAAAGGTCAGATTGAGAATATAAGGCGATTCCTTCGGGTCTTGACTCACCCTTTCGGCCGATTTCCTAGCGCCAGGATGAACTGCAGCATCAAGAAGAATATGTATCCATACTTCAGGAAGTTGTTCACGATTGGCGAGGCGTCATTACCAAAAGGCCATCCCTTATAATAGTTAGATTGACTAGGAGTTCCGACAAGGTCCATGATGACAGTAGTAGTCAGCCAGAATGAGGCTAGGTAGTACGAGTTAGTTGAAGATCCACCAAATAACACGAGATTCGGGACATACCGAGAGAGAACCAAGTCATGACAAGACCCATAAAGTTGTAGGTCATCTGGATATGCAGGAAAAATAGCCGCAGGATGTTGTGGCCACTCTTATAAATCCGCCCGAAATGCATCATTGCATACAAACTGGCGGCGAACGAACCGTTCAACCAACGACGTCGCTGACTGATAAACTCAGCCGCACCCTCTGGCACATCGGTCTCACCCTTTGACGCCTTCACGTAGGTTAGATGCCATTTGAATCCAGCCTTTGCCACAAGCTCGAAACACAAGATACGGTCCTCAGCAAGGAACATATTCTTCTTAAAGATGTTCATGCCCTCAATACCCTTCTTACCCAGCTGCTTTGAGAGTGTATGGTCACCGTGGAAGTACTGCTCTAAGGGGCGACCCATAATAGCGCGATAGCGGTACGCGGAGAAGGCACCCGGTAACACGCTAACATACCCGAAGGCACTCTCTAGCGGTTTGTCAAGAATATTGGAGATCTTGTACTCGAAGTTTTGTGCAGCGACAAGGGGGTTCATCAAGTTCTTCCACCCTTTTCCTAACATTGCGTGAATCTCACCGCAAGATCCACCCAAGTTCTTATCGTTGTAGAAGGACTCCCACAATGCAAGGAGCGATTTCTTTCCAGGCTTAGTTCCGGCATCAATAAGAATCACGACTTCGGGGTTGAGGATTCGACTGAAACCGTTGAAAAGCCACCGGTGGGAGTTAATCTTCTTACTGTTCTTCTGTTTAAGGCAGAAAATCATTTGAACAGGAGGAAGGTTTGTCGACTCGTTACCCTGGGGCCGGACCAATTGTTGGTTGGAGGTGACAGATAGTTGGGTGGTGTATTCGAACTAGGTCTGTTAGTGGATCTCCGTCGACTACAAGATCACCGAGATAGATGGATGGTAGATTTCGCCAAGGCAAATCGAGAGGACTGTGGGAACTCACGATGTGTGCGACGGTTTCCCGACCATCGACGGAACGCTTCATAATGCCATCTTGGTAGATACCAATTGTGGCCAACAAGTCGAGGGTATTCTTGTCACAAGGATCAATACCATCAAAAACCAATGAGCACACGATCTTTTGCCAGGCCGGGCCACCTTTGTTCCAGAATTCTGACTTCTTCAAATTCACGATGTCCCGAATGTTCTGCATGACACCGTGGAGCGTCCGCGCGGTCAGAACTTTATCTTCGTTGTAATAGGTGATGGCAATCAGGAGCTCGGTGTGTCGGTTGTACATAGCCGGTCGCAGATTGTATCCGTTGCGTAAGGTGAACTCGTCAGGATCACAGGTGGCCGCGGTATCTGTACGCGATTAGCTCCAGTTTTGGGTTGCCAATATTTCACATTAAGACTTACAACGGAGATGCGTGAATTCTTCCGGGAAACCCTCCTCCGATTCCCTGTACTCCTTCTGAATGGCGTTCTGAATGGCACTCGGCACCGGGTAGTCCACACTGAGCACAGAGCCCTGGACCAACTTAATCTTTCGCGTAGCATAACGTCGCAGCCCTGACCCAGGTGCCTGTCGGTTCTGCCAGGCTTCTGATGGTGTTTCGGACATAGGTGATTGAACAGATGGAATACCAGAGCGACGGTTGAGTCCTGCCGCGGACTCCTGGTATGGGCCATCCGGGAAGATCGTGACTCCGGGATCATGTAGTGTGTAGCGACGAAGGGAATCGGTCGAGGCATATGGGTCATCGAAGGAAGCATTGAATGGGCTGGGCTGATTTCGGTAGAGCAAAGACTGCTGGCTGTCGATGTTCTCGGGTTTCTCCTCGTAGCCGTACGCTTGCTGTTTAACAAACTGTGTTAGCATCCGTCGTTGTCTTTCTGGGTCTCTTCTGCTTGTTCCGGATGGCTTGTCACTCACCTCTCGTGGGCCATACCCGCTAGCCTCGCTCGCTTGGGGTGAATGAGAGGAGTTGCCCGAATGAGGCGAATGAGGCGATGTTCCTCTGTGAGGAAAAGACATTATGCGTGGTTCACGTGTCCTCCGGCTCTGGCGCAAAGGTAATAGAGATGAGATCTAGCTTGTGGGGTGGTATCTCAAGGATCGAAAGAAAATATCAAGGTTAGAAGTTTCAATTCCAGGTATAATCCGGCGCCTCAAGGGCAACAGCACGACAATGCAGCAATGATCTCGTGAGTTAGGTTGAAAGCAAGACAGGTGACCTGTCCAGAGATCAAACCTATGTGAGAACCAATATGAGACCTAAGCAGGAGAGACCGAAGAGTTGACGTTCGAAGAAGACATGTGCGTAGGGGAAGGGCTCCAGATTCCATCTATCCAGGAGATATTTTTGGTGCAGAATTTGATTGGAGGTGCCAACGATGCGGGCTGTGAAAGGGCGACTGAGGTGGAACCCCAGCGCATCAGCAATTGTTGTTCGTCATCCACCCTTTCTGAGGATCCACCATGGAGCCGTCCGAGACAGGGCATGCATATTGGGCATTGGCAACCGATTTTCCCCTGCGCATGCATCGCATAAATATTGGGGGCTGCAAGCACCATGGACCCCCCAACCACCGAATGATATTCCCCTTGATCATAATTTTCTCGATGCCCAAGATATACGCCTGTATGGGTATGAATTTGACTCTGTGATCCGAGCCTTGCTGGGACGAACATAACTCGTCGAACACGTTAAAGAGCTGCGGGTCGACGACGCAATGCGCCATAATATTGGTCAACAGGTGTCTCCTATGACCCATCACAGACACCCCCTAATATTTGTGTACATATCCCTTCTACCATCCCGAAACACCCCCTGAGGGATCTTTGAATCACTGTACGGAGTACGGGCTACTCCATACTCGTAAGGACACTGCAAAGGCCTCTCCGCCAAGAAATCACAGCGTGGCGGCTGGGGGTGGCAACTGCCGGGGATGACGACAAGGCGTCAGGAAATGATCGGCCGTGTCTCCTAGGGGGCTGAATTCTGAATCTGCAAGTGGCTCACCAGGGTCCACATATCCAGCCATCGTTATAAATTGGGTATGTGGGTAGTAAAAACAGAAAAGAATAAATGAAAAATGAATCGCGCTCCCACAGCAACAGAGAGAGCTGCCGAAGAATGTGTGTCAGACGTCTGCTCCATACGCATCACGTGCTCCACGATGTACGTGTACACAACTTATTATGTACGAAGTATGAAGTGCAACACACCACCTTGGAACATAAATGTAGTTGCCTTCGCGACTATCATTTTATTTTTAGATGTTTGAACTCCGCAGAATTGTCTGCAATAAAGGTTGAAGTCAAATTCTCAAGCGGAAATATATATTCCCACAGCTCTAAGACAGTAAGTCTCTCATTTCTTTTATGCGATAAATCTTTGCCCTTTTTTTGGTTTCATATTGATTTGACCGAAATCTATCGTTTCTCTGTTATGAGAACAATATTGTTTCCGTTGAATTTCTCCCATTTACTATTCTATCCTTCGTCCTAGCCCTCACCCGACACTCGGACTTCATTGCGAGCGCAACTTCAAGAAAATAGAATACCCTAATGACTTAACTAACAATCCTGGTGCCGAAGGGCTAATGCTAATTTTGAATTCGCTGAATCCTTTCTAAATTCAACCGTATGGAACCTTCATCTATGTATCCCGTAACATCAGATGAGTTGGCCGGTTGGTAGGCATTGCCCGAGGTCATTTGATATGGCAATGCCGATACAATATGCGGGGTAAATGATATATTTTATACTCCGAGGACGTTAAATTCTCATGTTTTCGATTCGATCATAAGCAAGCTATTTCCCCCCTTTTCATAACAATGTCGCCTCAGAGACCTGCATTTAATGACCTACCTTTGCGCAAAGATGGACCTCCAGGGAATGCTTGGGGGATGTTTGGAGAGCGAGATCAAATGGGCATGCTCAATCTATTGACGCCGGAAAACACCGCTGCGGCTGCTCGCGAGATTGTCGATGGCGTGCGTGTCTCAACAGACTGGGCTCTCAATAGCATGGCGATCCCCTGCTTTGGACGGTCTGCTTTTGAGCATATTGTGAAGAACAAGGCTCCCCGGGTGGTCAACGATGATATCTTGATTTTTAACACGCAGAGTAGTAGTCAATGGGATGGCTTCAGACATTATGGATCAAAGCAAGGGACTTACTTCAATGGGTGTACCCAGGAAGACATCCACAATTCCACTCGAAATGGCATTCACGGTAATTCCTTCTGATTCTGAAATTTCTGATTTTCGCTGATCCTCCCTCAGTATGGGTCGAAAACGGCGGTATTGTTGGACGGGGCGTTCTCTTGGACTATGCGGGCTGGGCAGCGGCGAACGGGAAAGAAGTGAATTGCTTTGAAACCCAGTCAATCCCAGCTTCTGTACTCCAAGAAGTAGCTGCTAGTCAGAATACCACATTCCGACCGGGAGATATCTTGTTTATTCGCACGGGTTGGACTCGAGCGTACGATCAGCTGTCACAGGCGCAATGTCAGCAACTGGCCGACTATGCAGCACCTCCAGTGATTGGAGTGGAATCGTCCGAGGCCATGCTGCGCTGGATTTGGGATCTTGAACTGGCTGCCGTGGTGGGAGACATGCCGAGCTTTGAAGCATATCCATGCCAGAATAAGGCTTTTTTCCTCCATGAGTGGTTGCTGGCTGGCTGGGGCGTCCCAATCGGGGAGTTATTCGATCTTGAGCAGCTCAGCCAAGAGTGCCGTAAGAGAGGCCGGTGGACCTTTTTCTTTAGTAGCGTGCCATTGAAGGTGTGTGCAGACAAAATTCCACCCCTATTCCTAACTGACCACATCCGTCAGGTTCCTGGTGGGGTTGCAAGCCCCCCAAATGGTGTGGCTATATTTTGATCGCAAATTCTTTCGCCTTTGCCCCTTGTCCTTCTTGCTCATATTCAACAGTCTTAACCATCTGCAGATAGCGCAGAATGCAAGCGGGGGTTGCTGGCTTTTATAGGCAATGAGCCCCTTCCAAAGAAGCTTGAAAGTCCTGGATATATCAGAATGCACCGATTATTCTAAACATAGACACCTAGGCATCATGAATAAAAAAGTAGTAGGCAATTTCCTCGCACGATACATGTACGTAGCCCTGGGGAGGTCGGGCCGAAGGGATAACTGAAAAAGCGGAGAAACCGGGGCTTTCCGTCTCGGTTTGAGCTGCGTGTCATTCTACAACGTTTCACCCCCAGCCTATGCAGATCAGACAGATCTAAACAGTCCTAAGGTCTAGCCTCAAAAAAGAAAAAAAAAAGTATGGTCCTTGGAAATGCAGGCATCTCGCGTCAGACAGAAGATCGTTCAAGAAGGTCGATGGTAGCCTGTAACCGCTGCCGTTCTAGAAAAACTCGCTGCGCCGGCAATCCACCCCACCCTTGTGCAGCATGCGCGGATGCGGGCAAGAATTGTGTATATTCAGAGGCTGAAAAGCGAGTCTCTATAACGGAGAGGTGAAGTCGGTCCAAGATAGTTGAAAAGAGTCAATGCTGACTACTCTATTTGCAGCTATTATCGCCAACTACAAGCACAAGCTCCTGCGTCGCGAGGTAGGTTTCATACCTACCTAGGTAGTCATCTGGACGCAATTTAACCACTCAGGATAGAAGGTAGCCATCCAACGCCGTCAAGTGAGCTATCGATATCCAATCGCTACTCTGATGAGGTGCCACCAGAACGTGACGACTGGTGGTACAAAGGGACAGACAATCTGTTCTTGAATCGGTCGGGAGAACATCGTACGTATTAAGCTGGCAGATACTTTATTCCTGTTATATCTTTCTGCTAATCTTTCCTCAGATTTCGTGGGTGCCTCGTCCACCACACATCTCGCGAAACGGCTCAATCCTAGCTCAACAAGCCTTGCATGGGATGTGCGCCCACTTTACGATGACCCTTCGTCGTTGAGAAGAGCAGTTGGCGGCTCATTACCTCAATTACCACCTTTTGAGTTTGCCAAGCGACTATTCTGGGTGCAATACGCTTACATCGGTACCATCTTCTCCCTTATCAAACCCTTGGAGTTTGAAGAACGGCTCGATCTAGTTTATCACCAACCACTGGACTTTGCGCACCGTGAGTCTTGCCTAGTATACTGTCAGATACTGTTAGTTATTTCCTTTGGTTTGATGTACAGTGTGAATCAGTGGATTGGCGAGGAAGGTCCTCCTGGCTTCAAGTATTTCAAGCATGCGTTACGTTTTTTGCCAGATATCCACGAAGAGGGTTCGATTCTCTTCGTTGAGGTGCTATGTTACGTGGCATACTATATGCAGAATCTGAACAGGCGGGACGCTGCCTTCCTCTACGTATGTATCACTTCCATTGTCCTTCCGCTGTACTGCTAACGACGTCAGATCGGACTTGCTCTGCGCATGGCTATCTCCCTAGGCCTACATCAAGAGGTGTCTGATCCATCGATAAGTGAATCAGTTCGCAACCGTCGACGTCGGGCTTGGTGGTCTGTCTACAGCTTGGACCGGTAATTTGGGCAATTCTCTTATATTTTTCAAAACGATACTCATACTTATGGGCAGATTGCTCTCTGTCAAGTCTGGTAATCCTATTACAATTCATGATGGAGATATTGGGATAACTTGGCCCACAGATGTGGTATGTTACCTTCCATGGCATATCTAGGTATTCGCTGATTCGATTTTTCGACGTAGGGTGGATCAACCTTCGATGGATGGCCATCAACCGTTCTTACCCATTATACACAACTATCCCGTATATTGGGACGAATTGGGGAAGGTGAAACACCACCCTGTTCTCTTTTTCACTATACTGCCAAGCTGACCTAGACGGCTATATCAGAAATCTACAGAAAGAAACCTGGCTCTGGATCCAACCTCGTTGCTTCTGTCCAGAGTATAACAAATGACCTTTCTGCCTGGCTGCGACAAGTACCAGACCGGCTCCGCGTTGACTTCGCTACACTTGATACCCATATCAATCGAGAGTCTGTCTCAATCAACCTGCACTTCTACTCATGTGTGAACATGACTGCGCGGCCGTTGGTCTTCTATGTCATCCAAAGGCGACTCGACGCGGAAGCCCTTGGATCCACAACAGAAGATTGGAAAGAAGGGCTTGCTCCTAACACTGTCGCCGTCATTGACAGCTGTATCACGGCAGCGCGAGCAACCACTATGATCATGGATGCAGCTGCAAAACATAATCTCATTGGTACGCGACTGCAATACAACCCCATTTCTTTTGTCACGAAATCATCTGATCAAAAGGAACTTTTAGCTACATATGGATACCTCGATGGCGAATATATCTTCTCCGCTGCACTACTGCTAGTCATGGTGAACGCCGCGTTTCCGCCTAATGAAACCAGCGCCCGAGCCATGGAGACCGCACTGAACCTTCTTCGCGGGATGGCAGATCGAGGAAATACATATTTGGACTCGCGTCACTCATTACTGTTGGAATTGTGGGCAGCCATTGGACCTAGACGTGCTGAAGAAAAGGATACCGATGCGGCAAGTTCTCTTGCTGCAGGTCAAAAGGGCCCGGTGACGCCGATGACCGAAAACGGCGCAAATCCATCAGATGATGTTCCAGATCCGATTGCAGAGCTAGCAGCTTCACAAGTGCATACTCGTAACTGGCCGCAGCAGCCAGATATCCCTTCTTTCCGGGATATTGCCTTCCAGTTCGACCTAAACGATGATCCGGCACTCTGGGAAGGGGCTTTGGATCAAATCGACATTGACATGGACACTGACTGGATTGAAAACACTTTAAAGCGATGAGAACAAAACCTTATCACTTAGGAACATCTCTCAGTTGTGTGCTTAATATTTAGTACATAGGTACATAGTAGTGTTCATGTAGCTTATTCTAGCAAATTGATGCCTGACCTACGGTGACAGCAATGTTTGCTGATCACCGTACAGTCTGTGGCAAACATGTTGGCTAGTCTGCTATCGCCTTGGAGAGCTGTAAATAGCTTTCTCTTGCTTCTCTGTCTCTTCTTTCTCCCCCACTCATCCCATTTGATATAAATTCAGCATACACAGTTTCTCCATACAGCTTCTCCATACAGTTTCTCCGTACAGATCTCCTTTGTATCCTGATTCCTAGATATATGAGCCCCTATCTTCCCCTCAATCCTCAATCTAACCCCCGCGTCTTATCGGGCCATGGAGATGTCGGCCCGACAAAGCCGAAATAGGAGCCGTCGGCCCGACACGTGACATGCATCTAATGGATAACAGCGCGATGATCATTGGAGATGTGCTGTGATATCGGGACGAGCTCTGGGGCATAAATGATTACAGTTCCCTTCTGACGACCATCTTTATCTGTCATCCTCTCCTTTCCCTTTCCTGAGCCCACCTCACATCTTCCCAACTCATACTAGACGTAATGTCCGACTCCGGGAAGATCACCATCTCTATCGATCGTGGCGGCACATTTACTGATGTCCACGCGATTCAACCTGGCCGTCCCGACATTATCTTGAAGCTTCTCTCTGTTGATCCTTCTCACTATCAAGATGCCCCGACTGAGGGCATTCGCCAGATTTTAGAGCTGGCCACCGGGGAGCCACATCCCCGAGGCCAACCACTGAAACTCGACCGCATTGGCTGCCTACGCATGGGCACAACCGTTGCAACCAATGCCTTGCTCGAGCGCAAGGGAGCTCGTTCAGTACTCTTCACAACCAAGGGGTTTCGAGATTTATTAAAAATCGGCGACCAATCTCGCCCGGCCATTTTTGACCTGTCAATGGCTCGCCCCGAAGTACTCCCGGAAAGTGTCGTCGAAGTCAACGAACGTGTGCTGTCTTGCCATCCTTCTGCTGACAGCGATTGCTTCTCCGATTGCCGGATGGTAGAGGGAATCACCGGCGAGAAATTCCGTGTGGTGCAAGAACTAGACCTCGTTCAGGTGAAGGCAGAGCTCCAACGGCTGAAGAAGGAAGGAATCCTGTCAATCTCCGTGGCACTATTGCATTCCTACGCATATCCTGAGCACGAGCGTCAAATCGGCGAGCTCGCTCAAGAGATGGGATTCTCGGTCACCCTCTCTTCAAAACTTCAACCCATGATCAAGATCGTGCCTCGAGGCATGTCGGCCGCCGCCGATGCCTACCTTACACCTGTTATTAAGACATACATTGACTCCATCTCTTCCAGCTTTGAAGGTGGGTTGGAAAGTCAGCAGGACTGCCGATTTGAGTTCATGCAATCAGATGGTGGACTGGTCGATTTCCGCAAATTCAGTGGGCTAAAAGCGATTTTGTCCGGCCCCGCAGCTGGCGTGGTCGGCTTTGCAGCCACTAGCTGGGATCCCACTGAGAAGACGCCCGTTATTGGTTTCGACATGGGTGGCACCAGCACAGATGTCTCTAGATTTGATGGCCACCTTGAGCATGTATTTGCATCTAAGGTTGCAGGCGTGACGATTCAGTCCCCTCAGCTTGATATTAACACCGTTGCTGCTGGTGGTGGCTCGATTCTCACTTGGCGTAATGGCTTGTTCTACGTTGGGCCTGAGTCTGCAAGTGCTCATCCTGGTCCGGCATGTTACCGAAAGGGGGGGCCTCTTACAGTGACAGACGCCAATCTGTTCCTAGGTCGCCTTCTGCCGGAATACTTCCCGAAGATATTCGGCCCGCATGAGAATGAAGCTCTGGATACAGAGACGACTGCACGTCTTTTTAATGAACTCACACAAAAAATCAACATGGAACGCAAGCAGCAAGGCCAGTCAGAGTTTTCCCCAGAGGAAGTCGCACTTGGCTTCCTTAATGTCGCAGATGAGTCTATGTCCCGGCCAATCCGTAACCTCACGGAGGCTCGTGGCTTTGAGACTGCATCTCATCATTTGGCATGCTTTGGAGGTGCCGGTGGCCAGCACGCATGCTCAGTGGCCAAAACGCTCGGAATCTCCCGCATCATTATTCACAAATATTCTTCCGTTCTCTCAGCGTATGGCCTTGCTCTAGCAGAGGTTGTTAAGGAGTCGCAGGAACCTGTTTCGTCAGCCTACCTATCTTCACAATCTGCGCTTCTTCAACACCTGGATGACTTATCAGCATCAGCAACCAAGGACATGGAATCCCAAGGCTTCCCTTCCACCCAAGTGCGCCATGAGCAATACTTAAACATGCGCTACGAAGGCTCTGACACCAGTCTGATGATCCTAAAGCCCGAGGGCTCGGGAGACTTCCTAGAAGAATTCTGCATTCGTCATCGCCGTGAATTCAACTTCAACTCTGACCGACCTGTTCTTGTTGACGACGTCAGAGTGCGAACTATCGCCTCATCCAAGGTGCGGACCGAGCAAAGTCCCATAGTCCAATTGAAAGGAGCCAATATGCGAGATGTCGCGACGGCTCCAAACAACATCACTTCAGCCTACTTTGGCCAGTCAAGTCGGGTCGATACACCAGTCTACCTTCTAGGTGAATTGGAGAAGAATTCCCGCATTCATGGCCCGGCTGTCATCATTGATCAAACTCAAACAATTGTCGTGGCTCCCAACGCAGTGGCGAACCTGCTCGACACCTGCATTGTCATCGATCTCAATGACGAACCAACCTCTTCCGGAAGCGCCCTGTCATCGGAAATTGACCCCATCAGGCTTACTATCTTTGGGCACCGGTTCATGTCCATTGCTGAGCAGATGGGTCGTACGCTACAGAAGACCTCCGTTTCAACTAACATCAAAGAGCGGCTGGATTTCTCTTGTGCTCTATTCTCCCCTGATGGGGGTTTGGTGGCCAATGCCCCCCACGTTCCCGTTCATCTTGGATCGATGCAATTTGCCGTGCGTTATCAGCATGAAAAGTGGCTAGGCAACTTGAAGGACGGTGATGTTCTGGTAGCCAATCACCCCAGTTGCGGAGGTACCCATCTGCCCGATATTACAGTAAGTCACATTCATATTGAATACTCTCAAATACTGATATGTCCATAGGTCATCACACCGGTCTTTGACCGACCTGGTGGCTCCGAGATCATGTTTTACGTGGCTTCCCGTGGACATCATGCTGATATTGGTGGTATCTTACCTGGATCAATGCCTCCCAAATCCACCGAACTGTGGCAAGAAGGCGCCGCTATTGAAGGCGACAAGATTGTCAGTGATGGGGTCTTAGATGAGGCACGTTTGATCGAGTTGCTGGTCACAAAGCCCTCGCAATACCCCGGCTGCGCTGGAGCACGCTGTCTCAGCGACAACTTGTCCGATCTGAAGGCGCAGATTGCCGCCAACACTCGTGGAATCAGCTTGATCCAGACTCTATTCAACGAATATGGAACCCAGACCGTGCAAAGATACATGTACGCCATCCAGGCGACCGCCGAATCTGCTGTGCGCAATCTTCTCAAGCAGCTATATCAGAAGTTCAATGGCCAGCCATTGGAGTCAGTCGACTATATGGATGATGGCACCCCCATTCGGTTAAAGGTCACCATCAATGGTACCGATGGATCAGCTGTGTTCGACTTCGATGGCACAGGCCCTGAGGTGTATGGTAGCTGGAATGCTCCCATTGCCATCACTCACTCAGCCATCATCTACTGTCTGCGCTGCATGATCAATGCAGATGTGCCACTGAACCAGGGATGTCTGGCGCCAATTGACATTCGCGTCCCATCTTCCAGCATTTTGTCGCCGAGCAAAACTGCTGCCGTCGTTGGTGGCAATGTCGTGACCTCACAACGCATCACTGACGTCGTGTTCAAGGCCTTCCAGGCTTGTGCAGCGTCCCAGGGCTGCTGTAACAACCTGACCTTCGGTACAGACGCCAAGCTTGATTCGTCCACCGGTGCTGTGATCACGCCTGGATTTGGATATTACGAGACTATCGCTGGTGGCAGTGGTGCTGGCCCAACTTGGAAGGGCGAGTCTGGTATACATGTTCACATGACTAACACGCGGATCACCGATCCCGAAATCCTGGAAAAGCGCTATCCGACGATGCTCCGCCAGTTCACACTACGTGAGGGTTCTGGCGGCCAGGGCAAGAACCCCGGTGGCGAGGGAGTAATTCGCGACATCGAATTCCTTTCACCAATTCAATGTTCGATTCTGTCTGAGCGCCGTGTCCATCGGCCTTACGGACTCGAAGGTGGCCAGGATGCACAGACCGGATTCAACCTCTGGATCACGCGGGATCCGGAAACTGGCGATGAGCGCCGTGTCAACATCGGTGGCAAAAACACTGTCTCGATGAAGACACACGACCGGGTTGTGATCAACACTCCCGGTGGTGGTGGGTGGGGTGCTGTATGAATGGGTTTTATAGCGAGCATGACATTTCTAGTATACCAATATTAATTAAATACACAGGTGGAGATATCGTTTTGGCCTCGTGAATAAATTCACAAAGTCCCTTTTCACAACTTAGAGTTTCCAGATACTGGTCGCCACATTTCATTCGCTAGTCGGCTGGTATTTACCATATCTGGCCGCAGTTGGTCTAAGGAAGAGACTCCGAGCATCTTCATGGTGATCTCAAGTTCTTCGGCGATAACTGCGAGTGTGTTAGCTTGAAATTGATTTCAACACCAGTCCCAACTTACTGTCTGTACATCTTTCCACTCCTTCGGCGCCATATGCCGCGAGGGCGTAGTAGTAAGGCCGGCCGATTCCGACAGCGGTCGCTCCGAGACATAATGCCTTGAGGACATCTGCTCCATCGCGAAGACCTCCGTCGACAAACACCTGAAGCTTGTCGAAGGCCTCCGGGTAGTACGTGCGAATCTCCAAAAGCGTCATCAATGAGCTTGGGGCGGAATGAATCTGCCTACCTCCATGGTTGCTCAACAGAATTCCCTGCACGCCATGTTGGACAGCCAGCTTCACGTCCTCTACGCTTTGAATCCCCTTGAGAACCAGTGGCCCACCCCACTCTGACGAAATCCAATCCAAATCCTCCCAAGTAAGACCACCATCTACCGAACCGGGAACCTGCCGACCCCCAAACGCTGGCGCAAAGTCGTTCTCACCGTGAATGTCTCTTGCATTTTGAACCACGCCAGCGTCGAGATTTTCTTGAGCTTGGAGGTAGCGATCGGCAGTACGCTTTCCTAGCGTTGAAGTGTCCACTGTGACCCACAGGCTTTGGTATCCGGCTGCCTTGACTCTTTGAACGAGTGACTTGGCTCTTGTTCGATCCACAGGCACGTAGAGCTGGAATGACAAGTTCGAAGGGCTTTGATTGCCAAGTAGCCGTTGCTCATCCAGATGAGCATCCATGATCTCCTCGAGGGGCTTCGTAGATGCTGTACTGATCATGGTGTGCATGCCTTTGCGGGTTGCTCCTCTCACCAGCAAGGGTTCAGCGCCAGGGTGTGAGCTGCCCAGTGTACCCATAGCCGATACGAAGAAGGGGAACTGAGAGGTATGTCCCAAGATGTTCCTTCGGGTGTCCATTGAATCGACACTCCTCAAGATTCGGGGGCGGAAGTTGATCAAAGACCAGTCATCAAGGTTGGTCGTCATTGACAGGCCGGTAGCAGCTGAGCTTGATGCATAGACCCATGACTTCTCCGCGAGGACATTCTTTGCGACCTTCTCAAAGTCTGTCGCGGTGACACATAGAGAAAGATGGGGAATGTTGTTGTTTGCCATCCTGAATATCGTTATAGTGTAGAATATGAAACAGAAAAAGAAAGAAAGAAACAAGGAACAAGGCAGATGGAGGCTAATAACGTATAGAAGATCTGATAACGGCCCCGGAGTCGGCCCCGGTCGGCTATTCATTCCGGCCCGGCTATGTCCAATTGGGGTAAAAGCGATTGCCGAATTGTTATAGTTCTTGAATATATACATCTAGGCATATATAATTGTCCGAGTTTCTGTATAGTTGTCTTTTTTTGTCTAGTTTTCTGCATCGGAAATGAGGTCCCGTTTTATCGAGGATCGACTAACACCAAATGTCTGTACCAGTCAAAACCTGTTTCAATGTAAGCTTATATCCTCTCAAAATGGTGGGAAAGAGTATTCATACGGCAACATTCTCTGTTGGGCATCTAATGAGGGATATTGAGCTGTAAGGCCAGTTGTAGTCGCCCTTTTTATCGGTGTAGGTTCGGACATGGTCAAAACTGTGGGCTGCTGCGCATTCTAAAGCCATGTTAGACCGTAGTATAAATTTTCAGTTTAATAGTCATACCTGTCGGTGCTGCAGATAAGAGTTAGCGAGAGCAATATTGAATCTAACCTTGGGCTGAGACTTACTTCCTGACCACCATAGGGAGTGGCAATCACGGTTCCCATGAACGACGTGCAAATCAGTTGCAGACGCATGATAAACGATGATGAAATTCAAGCGTGTAGACCACTTTCGCAAGTCGTTAAGGTGGATGAGACAGCTCAACTTATGGAGGATAGCGACTTGTGAAGAGGACACGCGGAAGGTGAAATGCCTTCAACTACCTCAATCTCAGAATGTCAATATTGTTGCTAACTTTCAGTTTCAGTATTAGTGGACGAATCCAAATGAAGGCGATACTATGTATTTTGCAGGATATAGTGGTGGTAAGGAGTAAATCACAAGCCCTACTCTGGTTATAGAACGTCGGAAAACAAGCTTCATTGTCTATAAACTAGCTCCTTATCTTTTGGCGTCCGCAGTCAGAAACTTGACGTCAATGGAAAGTGTGAAGCATGTCTCCCCCATGCCTAGTGACATCTCCATTCTAGCTGCCACCTCATATCCCTTGATTGACATGCCAGTTCATGGACATTCATGGAAATTTCCGCTTGCATCTTCCCATGAGGAGGAAATGAGTAAACCAACCGGAGTAACAAGACATAGGTATCTTGTAGGATCTGTTGGGAAAGAGCCGGATCATACGTCGATCGTGACAAGCTCACCAACTACATACTCGGTTTTGGTGGGGACTGGATAGCAAATTGTAAAATTATATATCTTTTGTATAGCAACTCTATATGAAGAAGGTGCATAAACATAACATGAGCATGACATGATGGCTTTTTCCCCCGCAAGCCTGAAAATAGCTAGGGAATATAGGAAGATATGTATAGTGCGAATGATGTCCTGATAAGAATTATCATGCTTGAAGCAAGAGAATGGTTAAACTTCTACATAAAATGTTTATATCTATATTATTGGGGCTCTATGGAGCCCTAAACATATGTCAGAATAGCAGGGACATGTAATTATTTACTTAGATAACAAGGCTTACAATTAGAGACCACTAAGCCCTAGTTAGTCGGTTAATTGTTATACTGCGTGGCTGAGGTGACTACGTACTACCTCAGGAGTCAACAAATCCTGGAACCTTCTCTTTCCCCTCAAACTTGGTCCTATTCTGAGTGATAGTAGTGGTAAAATCCATCTAAATCATAGTCTCTTTGTTGAAAAGGTTTGCCCGGAGGTATTGTCAACATAATACCTAGACCCTAGAACGACCCTATACACAATAGTATGGGTCATCCTCACCAATTAGTCTTCTTTATCACAGTTCCTACATAGAGTTGCACAGCTATTAGAACCATGAACCGTTTGAACATCGGTATGTTGGCCCACTCGGTCCAAATGTGCCCGCAGGATACCGATACGGCCAGTTGTGACCAATATACTTTTGAATCTATGCTTTTCTCACCGGAGGCGGTATTTCCAATGTAAGTGCGAGTACTCTTTGTCGGGGCCTCCAGGCCAGTGGAAGTGCCCCCGCCGGGGCCCGATGAGGGGCTGTTAGTAAGCATCACATGTCGTCCACGGGTCTAGGCGGACCTGCAGCTGCTCCAAGCTGCCCACCTAGTTCGTTTCAACTTTCGCTCTATTCGCTTTTCCTTTTGCATTCTCTTTTGCGTGTCTCAATATGTTTGTCGCGATACCTGGTTGACAAGCCATACATAGGGCTCCGTTTCTAATATATCCCCTATTTTCATTAAACCCAGAGACGGTGGTAACGCATCTGCCCCGCGAACCAAAAAAAAAAATAAAAAACAAAGAAGGTGACCAGAGGTCCAAGGACACATATTGACCTTCATGAAAAAATCACCTCCTATTGTGTTTATTGCCAGGTCAGTATTTACTGTTATTACACTACTTTCGCTGCTCACTGGCCTTCCAGACATGGCGCCCGCCTCGATGCTGCAGACAAAGATTGGCACTTAACCTCTCCAAGCCCTTTCGATCCGCCTCTCTCCTACGGCGGATGGATACAGGCCCGGGCACTTGGTGTACGTATAAGAAGTCTACTAAGGGCCCGACAATACACTGGGGAAGATCCAGAGTCCCAGCGCAGCCATCATCCGACCTCGGATAAACAGGCAAAACCCACCCCCGCATCTTCGGACCTGTCCCACCGATATAACGTCATTGTTCATACCTCTCCTTACCTTCGATGTCTGCAAACTGCGATAGGGGTTAGTGCTGGTATCCACCAAGCCTCGGGCGCAGATGCATCCGAAGAGACCAGTTCAGCTCCCACTATCCCGCCCGTTTCACCGACCCCTAACCAGCGATGTCTGCTTCGCGTCGACGCATTTCTGGGCGAATGGTTATCACCCGACTACTATGACCAGATCACGCCCCCGCCGGGCTCGGACAGAATGGTGGCGTCTGCCAAAGGGGAATTACTCCGTCGTGCCGAGGTCATCCCAGCCAGCGATGGTTCAACAAGGGCGTTGTCAGGCCACTTTCCTGGCGGTTGGCGCAGCCAGTCACATCCTACTTCGCCGGATGGTGAGGACCGCTTGCATTCCGCAACATCCCAGCGCCAGCGTGCCAGCACCCATGACACTCTCCAGGACCCTACCCATCTCAAACATGCAAAGAAGTCTCTCGGTCGCCTAGAAACGAACCTGCCTCCTACTCTTGACGCATATTACGTACCACCAACTCCCAGTTACGCCGTTTCCACATCGGACCCCATTCCTACAGGCTATGTTGCTCATGCACGGAACGCATGTACCAGGATCGACTACCAGTGGGACAGTATGCGCACACCTTATTGGGGCACAGGGGGCGAGTTCGGCGAGGAATGGAGTACCATGCACGAACGAGTGCACGATGGATTTCAGCACATGATTAACTGGTATCGGGAACAGGATCGATCTGAACACGGCTCTACAGCGGAGTCGAACGGCGAGGAAAATGACTGTAATACACAAACGGTCCTCGTTATTATTACACATGGCGCGGATTGCAATGCTTTGATCAGTTCGTTGAACGGGCACTCGGTCTTAGTTGATATTAACACAGCTTCACTCACTATGGCTGTGCGACGCAACCGTGTCAATAAACCCGCGCATGACATGGATCACACGCCTAAATCTCCGGGCCCTGACAACCAATCTGTGTCACGGGAATACTCCTTGCAGCTTGTGGCGTCGATAGATCATCTGCGCCCGGGAATAAACCCCTCTCAGCTCACCTCGCTGTCATCTCCCTCCGTCCCTGTACTTTCACCGCCTCCGGTCCCTTCCTATCGGAATCGTCTTGGCGCTCGCCCATCGCTCCTGCAAGAAACATCAACAAACGGGCCACCTAGTACTAGCGCTGGGCCATGGACGCTGGCGATGCGTCCGTCAACTGGCTCCACTACTTCTGAAGGTCCCTCTGGGCTTTGGAACTCGATCTCATCGCCCACTGATAAAGCGGATGCAGACAACCTTGTACCCAACTTTGGTGATCGGCCAGTCAGTCAAGATTCGGAACTCTCCGATAGGTCTGATAAGTCTGCAGATCTTGGCTGGACGAAGCAATTACCTCACCGGACAATGTCGCAGCGTGGTTTATGGGGGAGTGCTCAGCCGCTGGGGGGTCGTGAAGCTGGAACGAAGCGGCGATGGACGGTGACGGAACAGAAGCTGTGAATCATTCTTTTTATTGGATTTTAGGATACCTCTTGCATGGCATGGTCTTTTTTGCTTTTTTATACTGAAATACTACTATGGCCCGGTCCTCAGGCATCAACCAGGGATCCACCAGGCACCAATGCCGCGGCTTCCCCTCATGTTTGTCTCTGCGCCTCTTTACTCTTCTCCTCTCACTCTCTCTCCCCCACCTCTATTCCTTTCAAGTATCTCTTCATACCTTTTCCATAACACCGCAAGTTCCATGTCAAACATCGAAACAGACGGTCTCTCCGTCACTTATTCCTCTGACCGAACTGGGTCTCCGGATCTGCGGCTGATCCACTATAATGATGTCTACCACGTCGAGTATGCGCTTCCTCTCTCTTTCTCTCCCTGGCTTCATAGGCTTCAACCTGGGTTGATATCAACTCATCTCATATAGATCTGGCTCTGCAGAACCTGTCGGCGGGGTGTCTCGGTTCCAATCCCTTGTAAATCACTACCGTTATCACCCCCGGTTCACCGGCCAACCCGATATCCTGACCTTCTTCTCCGGCGATGCTTTTAACCCCAGCATCGAAAGTACAATAACAAAGGGCAGGCATATGGTACCATTCCTCAACACAGTGGGCACCGATGTAGCGTGTGTGGGTGTGAGTATGGCAACCTGCCCGCCGGAAGTATGGACCCCGCTAATCTAAGGATCCAGAATCATGATCTCGATTTTGGAGTCGTCCAATTCCGCCATTTGGCCAGCCAATGTCGTTTTCCTTGGCTTTTAGCAAACGTTCTTGACCCGGCACTAGGGGAGGATACCCCAATAGCTGACAGCGGAAAGTCTCGCATGTTGATCTCATCCAATGGGCTCAAGATTGGCGTATTGGGTCTTGGAGAAAGAGAATGGTATGCGCTCCTAGAACGCATATACCGATGCTTCCATGCTTTTATTTCTTTGCTTACTCTGCTCTATCTTAGGCTCGGCACAATAAACTCTCTTCCGCCTGATCTGATCTACAAATCCGCATCTCAAACAGCTCGGCTGCTCGCGAAGCAGCTCCGAGATGACGGAGCAGACCTCGTGGTCGCTGTCACGCACCAACGTGAACCGAATGACTATAAACTGGCTAACAACTTGTCCCCGGATCTTGTGGACATTATCCTTGGGGGCCATGACCACTTTTACGGCCATGCCGTTGTCAATGGAATTCATGTAATGCGGTCAGGGACTGACTTCAAACAATTGAGTTACATCGAAGCTTTCCGCAAGCGCGATGGTTTGCCTGGTTGGGACTTCAACATTATGCGACGGGATGTTGTTCGCTCAATTCCCGAAGACCCTGATACAGTGGCTATGGTGGCCCGGCTTACTTCCAGCCTCAAGGCCAAACTAGACAAGCCAGTCGGGTTCACAGTCGCCCCACTCGATGGCCGGTTTTCTACTGTGCGACAGCGTGAATCTAATTTGGGTAACTTTGTCTGCGATCTGATGCGGTTCTACTATGCGGCCGATTGTGCCATGATGGCGGGCGGCACAATTCGCGGCGATCAAATCTACCCGCCAGGGATACTGAAACTGAAGGATCTGCTGAATTGCTTCCCTTTCGAAGACCCTGTGGTATTGCTGCGCGTTCGTGGCCATGCATTGCTGGCTGCACTCGAGAATGGGGTTAGCCAACTCCCCGCACTCGAGGGCCGATTCTTGCAAGTATCTAACATTAAGTACGGGTTTAAACCGGACGCACCGTCGGGGTCGCGCATTACATTCGCTCGTATCGGCGGCGAGCCCGTTGACTTAGAGCGTGACTATATTGTCGCCACACGCGGCTATATGGCCCGAGGAAAAGACGGGTTCACCTCATTGCTTATCCAGGCCGAAGGAGGTGATGTTGAGGAGCTTGTGTCTGAGGAAAACGGTGTGCTCATCAGTACAATCCTACGGCAATATTTTCTAAGTCTCAAAGTACTCGGAAAATGGAACCGTTGGAGTGCCAGCTTAGGCCGCCACTGGGGTATTGTACATCGCAATCTGCACGGCGAAGGCTGGCTGAAGCCAGCCTCTCCCACAAACGAGAAAAAAGTAGGCAAAAGGCTGAGCCCGCAGCCTAATCCCCGACGGACAGCCCGGTCAGCATACTACTATGGTCGATTTCCCGAAGAAGTCGAACAGGGCACCGACGTGGTCACTGGGGACGAGACGAATGGCAATGCCATGGACTCCGACTCAGATGAGGATCCAGACATCCTCACATCCTCGGCGCCAATCACAAATTACGTCACTCAGCCAGCGAAATCATCCGCTGAAGAGGAGCATCGTCTACAAATTGCGCGGCGAGTTGTCCGGAAGTGGATGCGGCACGCAGGTCTGCAGTGCAGAACATTGAATACTATGGACGGAGAAGGAGAGTTCACTCCGGCCTGGACATCGGGAATCTCTCCTCGGCTGGAAGGACGCATTGTTGTAGAGTAGACATGCTCCTCCGCCTCCTGCCTTTTTCCTTCAGATCCCTTTTCTTTCCAGTTCTTCCGGGCTTTCTCTTGTTTTCAAGGGATGTTTTTGTCCTCTTTAACTTATCATATTTGCTGTTCCCTATTGCATCATGCATATGCGCTGGATGGCCTGGTGTTTCTGGCTGAATGCATCGATACCCTGAATATTTTCGAACTATCCTATTCAATCGGCCTTCTTCTTGGGAATTTCTTTTTGCAACAGATAGTCTCCTCCTCTCCAAGCCTTATAAACCCCGTAAAGACCACAGAATGGCCAGACGTCCCACAGGGCACGTTTGACCGATCCCTTCCACCCACTTTCGAACTCTCCCCGTCTCGGACCAGGGAGATCAGATTCATGCACTCGGACCTTTCCATACAGAGATGGAAGATACTGTGCATGGTATCTTGCTCGTAAAGAATCATAAGCGGGCTTGTTATAGATGGACCAGAACTCGTCCTCTGTATAGTAAGTATGTGCATATAGCCATTTCTTTCCTCCAAGACTGTGGACCTTGTGTTCAAGCTGTCGATTTTGAGCCACGAAACCGGCCTCATCCGTGGTAGCGGCGGCCCCCCAGATTCCAAAATTGAGGAGTTGTGTCCTCTGGGCATCCACATTAGCTCCCTTGCCGTCATCTCTTGGATTTCCTTCCAACCCACCGGCATTGCCTGGTGGTAGCGGACAGAGCCAAAGCGGATATTGGCCAAAATTTTCAGGCCGGTCCAGCCAGTCCAGGAACTCGGCAGCAGTGGATATTGGCACACCGACATCTTGGATGATATATCGGCGCGCAAGCCCGCTGACGTGCAGGGCGTGGTACATCACCTTGGTGTGCATGAATCGGTTAAGAAGCCAGCGTGTCAGAAAAGTGAATGGGACCCAGAAGTAGCGAAAAGCATAACGGGCAACCCAGAAACCACCTCGATCATAACGGAAAAGGTAGTCAGTGAGAGGAATGTAGTCCACTGCATCTGGCATCTGAGGTGAGCTCTCTCGGGCGGAGATGTTAGAGGTCTTGGATTGAGCAATTCGTTCGACGTGCAAATAGAACCAATCATCTTGTCTGCGCGTAAAGCGTCTAGGCTTTACATTGGAAGTTTGTTCAACTTGTCGACCAGCACAAACGACGATCTTGTTCGGTGCGTAGACGATTCCGTCCAGATATTCAGTGCTTGGGTCAGCGCTAGCCTCTTCGAAGGCACGCACCGCGTCCTTCATATTGGAATTGACATAGTACTTCAGTTCCACCAATGGCTTTGACTTTTTCAATCGAATTTCCAATAGAGTGACCACTCCCAAGGTCCCAAAGGAAGATGCGGCGCCCCAGAACAAGTCTGAGTGCTTATCCGCCAGTTCCGATCCCGTCTCGACACGGTCATTGTATGCCTTCACCACCTGACCATCTGCCAGGACCATTTCAATCCAGTTGACTGTATGATCGAAGAACCCCTCGCGGAAAGAGCTACTCTCCCCCGATGTCCCCGAGAATCCGCCCCCAACCGAGATGTTGGGGAACTCGACAACCACCAAAGGGACCAAGCCATAGGCCTTGGTGGCAGTCACCAGAGCATCCATCGAGACATTGGGCTCGACTATAGCTGTACATCGGTTGATATCGATCTCGAGGACGCGGGTGAGAGGTTCTGTGCTGACCGTGTTGTGGAGAGATCGGTTGGAGGGCCGAGTACTGTTGGTGGAGCCATGATATATACGAAATGGTTGCTGGCGACTGTGGAAGTCCGCTACCCGTGCTGAGATCTCTTGTACATGTGCAGTATGATCCATTATAGATGTGTAAAAAAAGGGAATATAGAAATATAAGCAAAAGCCAGAAGATGCAAAATACGAAAGCAAGGAGAATGGAATGAGGAGAATCAGGCGCCAGCCCGAGGTCTCCACATTTGGAGTTGTGACGATATGAAATCAAATTCAGAACTACATCGGTATCATGAACATAAAAGAGAAAGACAAATAGCAGTAAAATAGAAGCAAAATAGAAAATTCCAAGCCTATTGGACGCCAACAGGGCGTGCTCCTGCGAGATTGACCACCCTACCACCTCCAGCTGCTCCGACTACTGAAGGCGCCCGAGGCTGTACCCAACCTGGAACACTGGGGTCATTACTTTCACGTGCAGAGATGGTCTGCCAGACATTGGGGAATCCTGTGGGCAAGATGCCTTTGATTTTGGCACCAGGAACGGCGAATCGAGGCTCACGATGGAGAAGGTAACCGCCCATCAGCCCTTGCGTAATCAACGACGCGAAAATCGATTCAATCTCTTGCATCATGGATATGTCTGCTTCTGTCCTGTCGTCAAGGTCATACGCATATGGATTCAGTTCGTAATCGTCATAGTTCTCTTCTGGGTCTCCATCGACCAATTGACCCGGTAAATTAGGCTGCGGTCGCCCTTCTTCGGTGTAAAATCCATCCGGGGCCAAAAAATCACCATATTTCCCTAGTATCTCTTGATCAGTGGCGGGGCTGACCGTTCCATCTGCTCCTTCCAGGCGATCGTAGTCGAGATCTGTAGGTTCGGAAACGACTTGTGACCCATAGAGGTTGGAGGCCGCCATAGTATTTGCCGGGCCATTTCCGGATGGTGCGTGCTTTGTTTGTAGCCATCGTACGGCCACAACGAGCTTTTTAAGGTTGAGGACTGGGGGAGGTCCCTTTTGCGCTTGCGCCTGCAGACCTCCATAGGAACCTCCATACATGAAAACCTTGCGTGCAAAAGATCGCCAAACTAGAATTTCGCATCGATTTCGGAGGGTAAACAGAATTCCTTTACGTGCAAACCATTGGGCGGTCGGCGAGCCAAAGAAGAGATGTTGCCGGAAAGCCAGGTAATCTCCTCGGACAATCAATCGACACAGTGGCTGGAAGTGTTCTGCTAATCCTTGTGCTTCCGGTCGTTGGAGGAGTGCCTGAGATGGGAATCGGCCCAAGATAATGTTACACGGAATGAGGTACGAGAGGATCAAGCGTCGTTGGTTTATGGCTTGGCGGTGGCATTGGTCATAGGCAGCCTGTAAAGCGATGCGGGCGGGAAAGAAAAGGTTATTGCCAAAAAGGTAGCGCCCGAGGTAGTAGAGGTAGGTTACACGCTGTGAGGCTGGGAAGTAGGCCAAGGGTGGTGATTGGGCGCTGATACTTGCAAACATCTGCTCGGCGTTGCGTAGTTTGCCGCACTGTATTTCCGTCAGAATCAAGCTCCGAGAAAGGGTGAGATTGTCACCGATAGGCCTCCGTACCTGGAACAGCAGTTTCAGGCAGAGATTAGCCATGAGATAGATACCGATGCGCTTGCCCTCCGGCTTACCAGTAGGCCCGGGAGTGCCGGTCCGATCAGTGAGGCACTTGATGAAGGCTTCCCGCACCACGTTGGCCGATTTTTCCACCAAAGTCACCTTCTCGATGCTCTCGTCCTGAGCCGCCAGACCTTCCATTCGTCGAATATGTGCGATCAGGTCCGGTCGACGATCGAGGCCCATTGCCAATTTTGCCAGGACTTTTGACAAGTAGAGAACCGTAGGGAGGACGACGACACCCATTTGGCTGTCTCCGAGGGCGAGCACACTTTGACTGCAGTTGATGAGAACGTTGAGTCAGTTTTCAAGCTCGAAGATATGAGCCTCGTCCAGGAACAGAGAGCGCATTCAATCCTCCACGAGGGCAGCAAAACTTACTTGAGCAGCGCCTTCAATTGGTTGTATGTTTCCAATAGGTTATCGGTGTTCATATCGCGTAGAAAGATCAAGTAGAGCTTGACGAAAGTCGGGAACGCCGTCCATGAGCCACCCTTGGATCGCGGCACGAGAGGCTCGCATCGTTGAAGAAGTTCGGCGTCGGTGTTGGGGCCCGGGGCATATTGCTGCCGTAGTTCACCGACCATGCGTTGGTAAATGTCAGAGAGCGGCGGTTCGAGCTGAAGAAAGTCCTGAACTTTGGCACCATCGCGCTTGTCGACCAATTCCTGCAAACTGGCGAGGAATTGGTCCAGGACGGGGGTTTGACCCATGTTGAAAGAGCAGTATGCTCGATTGACTGGTAGAGTCCAGAAGAATTAATTTGATTGAACGATCATTGTGTTTAAAGATTCTTAACGGTCAAAGAAACCAAACCGAAGAGCTCATCTATTAACGGCATGGCAGAACTCGTGACCGCCCTTTGTATACATCCATGTCCGTGAGTGGGAGTTGATTCAACTTTCAATTATATTCAATTGTGCTAAGTCACTGGGTGCTCTAATGGAGATTTAATAAATAGATGATTTATAATAATAGCCCTTATACAGTTCAAATGAGTTGGTGCCTGCATGTAAACACTCTTCAGTCGGATTGTATTTCACCTATCTACGGAGTACTACTCTGGTATAAGCGAACAGACTACCTTGAGAAACGCGGTGGAAACAGTATCTCGAGCTCTTCTATCATTTCAAATCCAGTGAGAAATAACCGGAGAAAAAAGCAAAGGAAGTCAAGCCCACCCAGTCTCGTACCTCATGTTGTCATCTGACGATCTATACTCCGTATAATACGTACATATGCAGCATAAAGATGGTTGTATTATGCCCACACAATTCATGGATAACAGGTAATATTATCGATCTATTTTTGAATATAATGGATATAGTTTGCATCTCAAAGAATGGTTATCTCGTCATTTAATAGGCTTAGGTATTCCACACAGATATGTACATAGCCCTCGGAGAGTGATATATTCAAATGTCGTCTTAGTTATATGAATCAATCCACTGACTGCGTCATGGTTCGCTCAGTACTAGCGCGTACGGGTATCCTGCGAACCGACCATATTGGCTTCAATAATCACAAGGTTGACACTGCTGTGGAAGGTTCCAAGGTTCGACCTGCATTATCAATCCGCGTGTTTGCTAGTTTCGCTCTGTTTGCTGAACTCTATCATAATTCCCTTCTGAGATGACCCACACGGCTCTGCGGGGGGCTAGCAATTTGGTTTCGTTTGCATAGTTTGTGCTGTTTGTGTTGATATAAGGACCAATCGACGTCGATGATAAAATGATAAATTGCAAGAGATAATTAACTTACTAGTTAACTAACTATCCAGCTTTAGCTAACTAACTACCTAGTTAACTACCAACTGTTTGTCAGCACGGTTTCTCGGAGGTTTCTCGGATGCCGAACTGAATAATCCATCCGCCGTTGAAGTACGTTGTATACCAGTACTTTTAAGCAGACCAACCCTGGAGCCTCGTAGTCTCTGTATCAAACTCCCAATCAATTAAGCACTCATTCACTCACTACGCCTCTCAAACCTATTACTCTCTGGACTCTCTTGGGACACGCCGGAACGCCCAACCCTTGGAAGGTCGCCATGATCCTGGAAGAGCTCAACGTTCCCTACGAACACAAGTTCATCGATTTCGCCGACCTGAAGAAGGAACCCTTCGAGTCCATCAACCCTAACGGTCGTGTTCCCGCCATTGAGGACCCGAATACCGGCATCTCCATCTGGGAATCCGGCGCCATCCTCGAGTACCTGGTAGAAACATACGATAAGCGACACAATATCAGCTTCGCCGCCGGCTCGAAGGAGTACTACGAAACCAAGCAGTGGCTGCACTACCAGATGTCCGGCCAGGGACCGTACTTCGGGCAGGCCGCCTGATTTACGGTCTACCATGCCGAGCAGTTGCCTAGTGCGATCGAGCGCTATATTAACGAGATCCGTCGTGTTTCGGGCGTACTCAACCGATGGCTGGAGAATAAGGAGTACCTCGTCGGCGGCAAATACAGCTATGTCGACGCTGCTTTTGTGCCGTGGTTCAATGTGATGGCGTTCCTCTGGTCGGACAAGATTGATATCGAGAAGGACTTCCCACATGTCAATTCCTGGTTGACCGACCGTATTAAGTCTCGGCCGGCTATTGCCAATACGTTTGATAACAAGGCGAAAGCCATGGCTGCAGAAGGGAAAAAAGAAATATGTGTTGAGAAAGGTGCTTATTCAAGACGACAAAGATAGGGAACGTGAGGTTGTTTAACTCAAAATTCTTGTCTGTTAGTTTTCTTCTTGTTCCTGAGAGCATATTTAAATGTTATTTGCCCTGAGAACAATTTTCCATGTAAACCAGTCTTTTGGATTATTGACCTCGGACCTGTTTAGGCTTAGGTTCTGAAGTACGAGAACTAAATCAAGCAGATACACACCTACTAGAATATTATAGTATCTCATAGGTTAGTACATGCTAGGTACATGTCTGGATCCTCTTTCGGTAAAATCCAGGTTCCCTCCTATGATGTCATAGGACTGTGCCCATCACATGTAAAAGGCAACGTCACATAGGGAATTGGAAGTACAAATATTTTGGATCTTTTCCTTCTCAATTGCTCTAAATTTTCACTTACCAAAGATCATGGGTTCCGAGTCCTTTATCTCGGCATTCTCGGCCTTCATCCGGCATCCATTCGTAGAGACCTTTACCTGGCTCTACATGGCTATGCAAGCGGTGTTGGTTTACATCTTTTCTCCTATACCCCCGCCCCCAACTGCTCAGAATGCAAATCTTCCTCGAAAAAGAGTCGCAGTCATTGGTGCAGGCTTGACCGGTGTGTCCTCGGCTGCCCACTGTGTTGGCAATGGCTTCGATGTCCAATTGTTTGAATCCAGACCCAAAGAACAAGGATTGGGAGGCATCTGGAGTGTCAGTTCTACTTCCATTTCAGTTAAAATACCGGCTAATACCCTTATAGAGAGTCAATTCCACCTCCGCATTACAAGTACACAGCGTTATGTACCGTTTCCATCCTTCGGTCAAGTTCGACAGCGCCTATCCCACCCAGCAACAGATCAAAGAGCAAATCATTGATGTCTGGAAGAGATATGATTTGGAAAGACGCACTGCGTTTGAGACTAAAGTCACTTCTGTGAAAAGGACCAAGAATGGCCAGTGGATCATCAACAATGACGAAGGGAAGTATGGGCGCTTCGACGGCATTTTGGCCACGGTAGGCGTTTGTGGAGATCCTAAGATGCCGCCGCTGCCTAGCCAAGAAAGATTCAAGGGCCAAATCTACCACTCCTCAGAGTTGGATGGCAAAAATGCTAAAGGCAAAAAGGTGCTCATTGTGGGAGGCGGCGCTAGCGCCATTGAGGCCTTGGAGTTCGCCGTCAAGAATGGAGCTGCCGAGATTGATGTTCTTTCTCGGTCCGATAAATGGATCATTCCTCGCAACATACTCGTGCAGTCTTTTCTAGCGTGCAATATCTTCGGCCAGGAAACCTCACTCTCGTGGATCCCCGAATGGTTGCTGCGCAAGTTTTTCTATCGTGACCTTCAAGACATTGCACCGACAGACAAAGGACTCTTTACGGGAACTCCGATGGCCAATGACGAGTTGTTTAACCAGATTCGGGAGGGCAAAGCCCACTGGTTACGAGGTGATATCGTTTCTGTGGAAGAGAAGGGTGTGATGTTCAACTATCGATCTAAAGGCGTCCCCAAAGGAGGACCCGGCCACGAGCAACTGGTCGAGGGAGATATCATCGTCATGGCAACTGGTTTCAAACGGCCTTCACTGAACTTTTTGCCCGATGAGTGTTTCGACGAACCCTACGGACCGCCTAGTTGGTATCTTCAAGTCTTCCCACCCAAGTACCCGGATATTTGCGCAAACAACAGCACATACGTTGATGCGATTGGTACAGTGGGCAATATGCATATTGGAATCTACACGCGATTCCTGCTTATGTTCTTGACCGACCCATTGACCAGACCTACTGAAGGGTGGATGAAGACCTGGATTGACTTCACCAGGTTCATGAAGCGTCTGGCACCCACAGGAGCGTTTGACTTCTTCACCTATGCTGAACTGATCTACTGGTACTTCTTCGTCCTTGTCGTCAACCCGTTCCGTTGGAAGTGGGCGTTGTTTGTGTTCTTTGGTATTGGTCGTGGCTTGCCCTTGAGGTTTGTAGAACAAGAGAACTCGTTCCGCAAGGAGCTGAAGAAACAACGCAAGACAAAGAAAACTCGTTGAATTGAGTTGCTATGGTACTTGCCCAATGTCATGATGGAGGATGCATGTGCAGTGAAAGCTAACAGGGTCATCATAATTCGAATGGAATGCTCTGTTGGTTGGTTTGGCTCGGAAGACAGTTTCCAGAGACATATATGTATTGTACGTAACATGAAAGCAGGCATAGCGCTTCCAAATATTCAACAATATCCACCTGAAGATAGAAAATCAACTCCATCATTGCCCTTTAATTTCCGGAATCTTCTTCTCCATGTTGTAAGCCAAGTTGCCCCCTCGCAAAAGCCGATCGGGGATATAACGCTTCTCTTCTAGCCACAGTATAGGCCATAGCAAAGTTACACCCAGGAGACAGAAAAGGGTTGCAATGAGATGCCAACCAAAAATAATCCAATACCCGATATGCGGCATGATGAACTTGACAAACTCCGATGTTTGATACAAATCTTCTTGCTTAGAAATGTAGTAAAGCTTGTGGTCTCCATTGGTCGTAGCATCGCTCTTGACTGAATCGTACGCAAGGTTCAAGACCGTAGTAAGAGTCACAGGAGCGACATGGAAGGGAACGAGCCAAATGGAGAAGACTTGTGACATATTCACATAGAGCTTGAGTTTATCCTCATCGAATGCTAGAAGATGGTCAGAGTCCGCAGTCAAAACTATGCCGTCCATACATAACCTTGGGGTGTCCATACCGATAGAATGAATCTCTAGCTCGATCCGGGGTGACATGACCTTATACCACTGGAATATCTTTGACACCCACCATCTGCTACCTTCAAAGTGTGGTACTCGGCAGAATGGATGAACAAATGATGCATTGTTGGTGAAATACCGCTTGAGGACGGTTTCTTGCAAAGATGGAGGCGACTGTGTCAGACTCCGGATAACTATAGGTATATCGGCCACTGTAGGGATGAGCAGGAGATACATATAGAAGTTCAAGTTGATAACGCACCTGGGTTTTCCATATTGAGCAAAAGGTTCAAGGATGTTGGAAAGAAAAGAAACAAAAGATATCAATTTGGTCCTGAGGGCGAATGCAATGACGTCATGTTCGACTATCCTGGGGTCTGACATGTGAATTTCATTTGTGTCTAGTCACACCAAGTTGGAAGCTACCCAATTAAATTAGTTCTTCTTAAATAAGTTCTTCTTTCAGTCGATACAGCACGATTTATAGAGGCCATATCAAAGATTAATATTTGTTAGCACTCGATAGATGCCGGTCTTTATCGGCATGCCGAGTCATCATATTCCGGCGGTGAGGCCTAGAATATAACATACACAGCCCTAGACTGAATTGATCTGGTGGAATCATATATTCCAATGTATGTCGTAGAATTTAAATACAGTTATGCATTGGTCAAGACGGACCTTGGGTAATCAATAAAACTCCAAAGTGATTGAATTCCAGAAAGAAACGCCTTTGAACATGGAAGTTGCCCGCTGCAACCACCTTTTACCGCTTCCAGCTGTCAACCTTCTTTCGTCGCTTGTCAAATATCTGACCCATGCCCACACCATCACCGCGCTGCCCGTCCTCGTTGCGGACTCGCTTCCGACTCTTCTCGAGTGCGGCTCCGTTGCTTTTGGATCTCCGGGTGAGACGTTCAATGTTATCTGCGCCTTCATTGAGCCCCTTCCATTCATCACCACCGTACGTGGTATCCTTTCCGCGACCCCGTTTGGCCAATTCCTTCTTAGTCTCCTTCGGCAATCGGACAAAGTTGGTCTCTTCGTAGGTGGTCCGTTCCGCCTCGCGCTCTTGGTCCTTCTTTGACTTGACTGTTCGGCCACCATCAATGATTGTGCTGCCGATACTAGGCTCGGCCATGGGCGCGGAGGACATTTCAGCGCTGACAAATTCGTCGATAACGTTGGATCGAATGGGTCTGCGGTCCTGGCGTTCACGACGTTCGGTCGTAGGCAAGGAAGTTGGCATGATCCTCGGGGGACGATAAATGCCATCTCCGGGTCCTTCGGCACCCTTGGAGGACTGGGCCTTCTTCTGCTCGGCCACTCCCTTGGAGAAGGCAGAAACATTGGGTCGGTACGCCATTTCATCAATGTCCTCTTCATCCTCACTGCCGCTCGCATCTTCGTCCTCATCCGACGAGGCTTCGCTGTCCGATGTCGCGGCTTTGCGGCTTTTCTTGGTCTTGGCCGGCTGAGCCTTCTCCGTCCGCTCTGCATCCTCTGCAGCCTTAATGACCTTGTCCACCTGGTATTTCAATCTTCCTTCCAAAGGACGGACACCACGTTCGAGGAATACCCGAAGCTCAATCAATTTCTTGCGAATATCATCTTCGAGGGAGTCGTCCGTAGATTGGCTCTTCTCTTTCAAGGTTTGTTTCGCCGACACATTTCGCAATTGGAAGATAATCAGGAATACCAGATTTTGTAAATAGGAGAGGAGAATTTCGCTCTTGGTGTCGAGAAGAGAGATGCCGTCTTGGGGGGGCTCGATCGTTACATCGGAAGGCGCATCCTTGTGTGGCTTGGGTAGAGAGGAGACAGTGGTCGACAGACAAGTATTCAGAGTCTCAAGCAATGTCGATAGGCTTTGAGGGCGCGCAGACGCCTGTGCTGGAGCCATGATTGAGAGTCGATGACTTACAGAGAATAATAATTCGCGGACAAAAAAATTTGGCCGCTTCGACGATAACACCGGTCACGTGTGATAACAACGAGGCACCAAGGCATCAACAAGACATCCTCAGGTCGTCATTGCCAGTCTGTCATTCGCAGTTTGCTACTTCGGCATTTTACCTCCCTTCGAGTGTCGCGAGTTTCTCACAAATGAGAACCGTGATTCTCTCTTTCTAGGGTAGCTTCTCGCTGTAAACAACCCCCTTTCCTTTCACGACCGCCCATTGAAACCCTAGCTCTACTCCTATCCTCTCCCAAACAAACAATTGAGGTTGATTTTCAGGCTCCCAAATTCTATAGACACTCAACATGCGGTTCACAGATCGAGCCTTTCTTCTCTCCTCGACTCTACTAGTGATCCCTTCTTTGACTACGGCCTTTTATCTGCCAGGTGTTGCACCGACCTCCTACGACGAAGGGCAAACAGTTCCGCTTTACGTCAACCACCTTACCCCCAGCCTCTCTCGCGATGATCAGCTTCATTCGGTCTTCTCATTTGACTACTACCATCCGGCTTTTGGGTTCTGCCGACCCGCAGACGGTCCTAAAGATGTGAGGGAATCCCTGGGGAGCATTCTATTCGGTGATCGGATTCGCACCTCGCCATTCGAACTTCATATGGCAAAGAATGAGACCTGCAAATCGATATGTGCAGAGGCCAAATTCGATGCCCGCAGCGCAAAGTGGACCAATCGGCGAATAGCTCAGGGCTACAACATCAACTGGATTGTGGATGGGCTGCCAGCCGCGCAGTTGAACTATGATGGTGTTACCAATACCAAATTCTACAACCCTGGCTTCTCTCTGGGTGAGCTAGATGACAATGGGCAGGCTCTGCTTAACAATCACTACGACATTGTGATTGACTACCATAAGGTGGGCTTTGGCGGCAAGGATAAATATCGCGTTGTTGGAGTGCTTGTCCAGCCTGAGTCTCGCAAGGACTCCCGGAATTTAGAAGGTGGGACCGCTGAGTGTGGTACCCCAGGAAATGGTCTTATGCTCAACGAGGACGGGGAGACCACTGTCACCTGGACATATAGTGTGTACTGGAAGGAGTCGCCCACAGCCTGGGCTACCCGGTGGGATAAGTATCTTCATGTCTATGACCCCAAGATCCACTGGTTCTCCCTCATCAACTCGGCTGTCTTTGTGGTTTTCCTTGTCGGTATGGTTAGCATGATTCTAGTCCGCGCACTCAAGAAGGATATTGCTCGCTATAACAGGCTTGATTCATTCAACCTGGAGGATTTGGATAGCACTTCGGCTGCGATCGAAGACGGAGTCCAGGAGGATTCTGGCTGGAAGTTGGTCCATGGCGACGTGTTCCGGTGCCCCAAATCTCCGTTGCTACTGAGTGTGATGGTTGGCAACGGTGCCCAGCTATTTATGATGACCGGTGTGACTGTCGGTAGGTGTTCTGACTCACGCTCTTCTCCTCTTGAATACTAATTTTTCTTTGTAGCATTTGCCCTGCTTGGCCTCCTCTCTCCTTCCAACCGTGGATTCCTGGCTACTGCCATTCTCCTGATTTCCGCCCTTTTCGGTGGTATCGGTGGTTACGTGTCGGCACGAGCGTATAAAACATTCGGAGGCGATGCCTGGAGGCGCAACATTATCATGACACCTCTGTTTATTCCTGGCATTGTATTTGGTACTTTCTTCACGCTGAATCTCTTTGTTTGGGCCAAGGGATCCAGCGGAGCCGTACCATTTGGAACTATGTTGGCACTGGTCTTGATCTGGTTTGTTATCAGCGTGCCCTTGAGCGTGGCAGGAAGCTGGTTGGGATTCAAGCAATCGGTACCATTAAAATCCCACCCCCTAAATCTAGACATTCAAATGACTAACCTCATTTCTCTGATAGCCGCTTGAGGGTCCTACCAAGACGAACCAAATCCCCCGGCAGGTTCCTCCGATGTCTGGTAGCCTGCGCACAATTCCGTCGATTCTGCTGACCGGAATTCTCCCCTTCGGTGCAATCTTCGTCGAGCTGTACTTCATTATGACCTCCCTCTGGACCAACAAGATCTACTACATGTTCGGGTTCCTGTTCCTCTGCTACGGCCTGATGATCATTACCTCTGCGGCTACTACCGTCTTGCTAGTGTATTTCTTGCTGTGTGCAGAGAATTACCGGTGGCACTGGCGCGCATTTATGGGCGCGGGTATGACCGGAGGATATGTCTTTGTGAATGCGCTCATTTTCTGGGCGACACGGGTCAGCTTTGGTGGATTGACGGGGGCGGTGCTCTATGTGGGCTATTCGGCGTTGATCGCCTTCATTGTGTTTATTCTGACTGGTAGGTTCTTGTTCCCGTGTCTTCCGGGTGGGCTTTTTTCGGCTGACTTTTGTGCAGGTTCCATTGGTTTCTTCGCCAGTTGGGCATTCATCCACCGTATCTATGGCTCAATCAAGGTAGACTAAAGGTCTTCCTATTGGTGTTTCTAACATTTAGCCTTGCATTTTTGGGGTCTTCAGAGAGAAGACTTCCCTGTTCGTGCGTGTTTTCGTTCCCTTTCTTTTTTGGCTTCAAAGAAAAGCATCCCTCATTGTTTGGAGATGTCTACCTCATTGCAGATAGATTGATGTTTTGGTCTGGAGGAATGAAAGTGGACTATATGTATATACGCGATAATAAGATTGTCAAGTTGATAGAAAAGTGCCAAGCCCCGGGATGGTCTGGACTCCCGGTTCTCTCGCCACCTCCATCTTCAACCTCCTCTCTATCTTTAGAAACTTCGGAATTTCTTGTATTAGTTTATCGTCTGGTTTCATCTTACATCTCTCGGGGAGCCCCTTGCGTAGACTTACCACTTACCACAACCACGCCACAACTCAGCCACACATCCCGCCTGTTTTTACCCCGCGTCACCACTCCGAGCTCATTACAAGGCCATCAGTCCCAGATTTTGGTTCGAACTTGGTGTTGATACTGTTCTAGAGGGGTCTTTTTGATCATGGGAAAGTCGTAAGTCCTACCATCCTGTCACCCTCGTTGAAATGGCGGTGGAACGGACCCCGTGGATTTCAGATTGCGCATCACCTCGGGGGAACAAGCCAGGACCAAAGGCCCCGTACCTTCAGTCAGGGATCACGATGAATATCACGCGACCTGAATGCAGATGACCCGCGTTGACCCCGTGTTCCGCAGTCAATCAAAGCTTTCGCCGACGCAGCTCGATGAGCTGCAAAGGGCAACACATTTCGATAAGAAGGAGCTGCAACAATGGTATAAAGGTATGCGGATACTGCTCACATATCAAACACGAAGATATCCAAGAGCTGTCGCTGATTGTGGACATGTCTAGGATTCCTCAAGGACTGCCCGTCCGGTACCCTGACCAAGGAAGAATTCCAGAAAATCTACCGGCAGTTCTTCCCCTTCGGCGACCCGTCATCCTTTGCCAATTATGTCTTTCGCGTTTTCGACTCTGACAACAGTGGTATGATTGATTTCAAGGAGTTTATCTGCGCCCTTTCCGTGACTTCGCGGGGCAAGATGGAGGATAAGCTGGATTGGGCATTCCAATTGTACGATATTGACGGCGACGGGAAAATCACTTATGACGAAATGCTGGCCATTGTCGAGGCGATCTATAAGATGGTATGTACAATGGGGTTTTGTGAAATCACTTTTCTCTGATAACTAACTGGAATACAGGTTGGATCCATGGTGAAACTCCCTGAGGACGAAGATACCCCGGAGAAACGCGTACGGAAGATCTTCCGGATGATGGACAAGGATGAGAATGGCAGTCTCGACATCGAGGAATTCAAAGAAGGCAGCAAACGGGATGAGACCATCGTCAGTGCCTTGTCGCTTTACGACGGATTGGTTTAGATTGTGGCTTGGGCGAATACTGGCGCAGTGAGAGGCATTCTCTTTTGGACGGGCGAGGGGGATGCATTGCATATTCCCTTCTCATACTTCCTGTTTCTCTAGTTCATTTTTTGTTCTTCTCTTCATCTTTTCGATTACCCCCCATGTCTTTTGTATATTTGAGACAAGTACAACCTTGGTGGTGAAGTGTATGTATACAGTGTCTATCAACTTGGTTTTAGACTCTGATTTTGATACTACTTTTGACTCTGTTCTTCCAAGACTCTAAGCACCTTCAGGCAGAGCGAAAACCGTGATGGGGATCGAATTCAATCCATTGTCGTCTCGTATATAACAAGTATGTTATGTCACATCAGAATCACTCAAGTCGGCCCTGCAGACTAACTACCAGCTCTTCTTCATCCATAGATTCTATCTGGAATTGATGTACAAGGGTATCGGGAAGACGCAAGAGCCAGCCCCTAGCATGCAGGGCGCGATCTAATGTACTGGAATGAGAAATGCAAGGAAACATGGGGAAAGAAAATATGTATCGAAATCACATCAGAAACAAGAAAAGCCTGCTGATCAGATGATCAAAGAAGAAAAAGAAGAAACTCGTGAGACAGCGTAAAGAGGAATCAATATAGATCAATATCAGCCCGTATCAACCACATGCTAGCGAAAGAAGCACGAATTGCACGAGATCTGGGGTGCACGGCAGACAACCATCAAGCCTCAGAAGCAGTTGTGCAAGAGACGAGCAGCTTTCTGACAGTGGGTTAGGATCATCGGCGATCAAAAAACCAGCTGCTGCGCTTCCCGGTCCCTTCTTGCGATTGTACGCCCGCGACGCTCGCATTCGCCGGCCCGTCACCACCCCCGCGTAGAGGCTTCGCGATGCGTGACCCCCCGAAGCTAAAACTCGCATTCCCATCCATGCTCGGTAAGCCGCGGGTCGAACCTTGCTTCGCTGCTTCGAGGCGTTCCTTAACAGCCGTGAGTTGAGCTTCGAATCTATTATCGTAGTCAGTATCGAGTATCACCAAGCAAAATCCCAAGGATTAAGTCAACACATACCGGTGATTGGCTTGGGTAAGTTTCTCTTGGCTCTCCTGGAGCAGGGCTTCCAGGCTGGCAATGCGCTCGTTTCTTGCAATCAATTTCCGCTCAGCGATTGCCACCTCTTTCTTCAAGCTACTGTTTTGTTCCACGAGTTGACGCTGTACATGGGTCAATTGCTCGAGGTTGCGCTCCAAGAAGGCCATCTTCTTCTGCTGAGCCCTGTTGTTTGAGGATCGAAGTACGTTGTTATACTGCTCTCGTGCGTCGTCCAAGGATATTTCCAGCTCGACGACACGCTCGCAGCGGTTCTGCAGGTCACGCATGAGGGACTTCTTCATGGCATCGAATTCGGTGATCTGCTGCTGCAAAGTCTTGCTTGCGGCACCATTGGTGGAGGTCCGGGACTGTGTGTCCACAAGAGATTGTCGCAACTTGGTCAACTCATCATCCTTACGCAGAATGTCAGAACGAAGATCCTCTGCCGCTGCGGCCTCAGCCTCCTTCTTTGCCACGTAAACCTGCTCTAGCCGTCCTCGAATCTCTTCCACGTCGCCCTCGCCCAAGTTGCGCGTCAACAGACCCTCATACTCTCGTTGAAGGTCATCTAGTCTCTTTTCCAAATCTGCACGGCGGCTGTCCTGCAGTTCGCCAAAGTCACTTCGGTCGTTCACGGTCAGCTCGGCTTGCCGGATAAAGCCTTGCGTCTCGAGAAGATTCGTGCGAAGGTCAAGGATGTCGTCTGGTGCAATGACTTCGCCTTCAGAGCTGATTTGGTGTAGAGCGTCGACGCGTTGGATGAGATCCTGCAGCTTGCGTTCATTATCGGAGAACACATCACCACCGAGGTCAAACCCAGCCATCATCTTAGCCATCTTTTCACTCTTCTTCTTTTCCTTCTCATCAAGTGCCGCAGTGGTCTCCTTTGCCCTCATTCGGACATCCAGAAGCTGCTGCTTGACTTCATCTAACTCGCCTGTGAGTTCGGAGTTGGCCTCCCGGAGGCCATCCATCGTGATAGCAGCTTCCTTGCTCTCATATGAGACCTTCTCGAGCTGCATGCGGAGCTCATTGACTTCTGTACCCAAGCGCTCATTATCCTTGCCGGTTCGTGCGCCATTCTCCTTCATAGACCTAAGCTCGTCGCGTGCCTCACGAAGGCTGCGTTCCATATTGACAATGTGCGACTCCTTCTCTGAGAGCTGGTCTTGGAATTCATTCTCACGGCGCAGAAATTCCTCGCGCTCGTCCTTCTCCAGCACCAGGCTAGGAGTGCTGGACCGATCTCCAACCCGTGAATCTGGGCGCGGGGTTTCTGAACGCGCAGTCTCCTGTAAACGCGAGGGGGTGCCCGGCCGCGGGGCGCGGGCTTCAGTTTTCGCGGCACTGACAATTTCATTTCCTCGCGCGGGAGTCCATTGGTCCTTGGGAACGCTATCACCGCTACGCCACATGCTGATTTCGCCCTCAAGCGCTGAAATGTAGCTTTCGAAATTTGTCACTTGACTTTGCGCCTTGCGCAGCAGTTGCTTCATCTCCGATGAGCTCAATTCTGCATTGACCTTGGCCTTGTTCTTGATGGCCTTGGCGCGCACACCGAAACGCAAGGTTGAGATTGTTTCCGCATCGTTGTAGCTGCTGGGTGAACAGTTGATAATCAAGGTCGTTCGAGAATTACCACCGAGAGATTCTTGGAGAATTCGAGTGAGTTTGGAGTCACGGTAAGGAATATGTGTCGATTTGCCGTCGGTCAATGCGTTGATGACCATTCCTAGCGCACTCAAACTCTTGTTAATCTTCTTAGCCTCCTCCAGAGTCTGGCCACTTGCGCCGGTCTTTCCGACCTTTTCGCTACCAGCCAAATCAACCAAGAACAATTGGCCACTCTTGGCGGATCCGGTCTCGACATTCTTCTGGGTGACAGTGATAACGAAGATGGAGTGGGAGCGAGACGATTCCTGGTTCATGTTGGTTGCAGAGACGGCGCGTGCTGCTCCTCCCCGGCGCATAACTTCGTAGACCTCCTGCACGCTGGATACGTAGACTTCCAGCAATCCTTTAACGTAAACTCCGCGAGCTTTCTCCTCGTGAACTGGCAAGTTGTCGTTTTGGGGCACGAGTAAATCACGGATCCGCTCCATGTAAATTTCCATATAGCTGACCCTTACGGTGTACTCGATGTTGCTCGGGCTAGTCAGGATGCTGGCGAAGATTTGCTCGATCATACGTGGAATGATACCTTTCCCTATGTCATCATCGATGTCGGAACCCATCATCGTATATGATTTTCCGGCACCAGTCTGACCATAGGCAAAAACTGTGCCGTTATATCCATTTAGAATATCGTCCACAGTCGGTCGGATAGAGAAGTCAAAAATGTCGTTTTGCGCGGTGTCCATAGGGAACACCCGATCAAACGTGAAGGCGCCTGTGCCCTCTCGGGACTAAAATGTTTGTCAGTATAGCCCTTGCGGTTTCTGGCTTCAGTTCCGACTCACGTTGATGCTACATGACTCTTCATTCTCGAATTCGACGATGGGCTTACCCCCAGACGCCAATTCGACTTTGTTTTGCGGACGAAACCTTGCAACCACTGTACATATCCAATCAGTCTCAGTCCTAGTAAAACGCGCTTTGGTTTATTGTGCGGGTCTATGCATACCCTTGATGGTGTTCGACCCCGCGGACCTGTGGGACCATATAATTAGTGATGACCAACACACGATAGGGCCGAGCGTATACTCACGCCATATTTGTAGAGTGTGACTCGTCTATGACACGCGCAAGCTAGAAGATAGACCCCGACAAGGGCAGGTGGCCTCGGAGTTCGTCAGAGGCGTCTCAAATGGGAACTCGTCTGTTGCGGTCTAGTGGCTCGGAGGGGGTTCAGGACCAGGGGGTCCACGTGCACCGTGGACCAAAACGCTCAAGGAATGAGGAAAAAAATAAAGCAGCAGTCAGACCGCAAAGAAAGGACGGCCAAACTAAGAAGACCTACAACGGGAGTTTGCAGGGGAGAGGGTTGACGCGAAAGAGTGGGATTTCAACTGTTGACAGTCACCCCGTTTGGGCTTACCGCCCCGGACTCGGATGTATGCAACCACCCTGCAGATAAGCTTAATGTACAGGGAACTATACCAGGAAGCGCATCATTAAACATCTTATTTAATTACATGCCCATTTATATTCTCTACAATGCACATGTCAAGGGACCGAAGCGCAAGGTATGCGGGAAAAGCAGGCTAATGCACTAAGAAATATGAGACTGTAATCTTGTAAACTCGCCCGAATGACCCGGCGAAGGATGAAGAATCGTGAACTAGAGACGTGGAAAAACAAAACTATGAAAGATGAAAATGAAATCAAGACGTCAAAAAAAAGGGCGCAGGAGAAAGAATACACAACCTGAAAGAATAAGATACCAAGCGCCAGAAACCCCATGCTGTGCAGATCAAACAGTCAAGCTGTTGTGCTCATTCATAAGAATGTCAGCCCACCGAACCTGGCTGAGCAAGTTTGATTGTGTTCAATTGTCCTCCCAGCTTTTCTCAACCGTCTCTCGCACTCTCTTGGTGTACTCTTTGCGGTTGTCTTTGTAGAGGTTCGAAGCCTCGACGTTGGCCGGAGATGAGGTGTTAGGGTCATTCAAAAGACTAAGATTGAGAAGCCCCATATTAGCATCTGTAGAGTGATCTTTCATAGCCCAACCCGCCCTACCTTTGAATACTGGTAAGAATAGCTGCCACATCATATGTCGGACTCCAGCGGTTCTGCAGAATATCGAGACAGAGCTCGCCGGTTCCATACACATTGGGATGGAACATTTGGCTTATAAATTTCACACCCGGGGGCTTGTTGGGGTATTGTTCTTCGAAGTTCATGACCAGGCGGAATGTGCCATCTTCGAACGGCGTGTCGGCGGGGCCGATGATGACGGCATTCCTGGGATACCATCAGAA